AATATGCCCTTCAATTCTAAGTTGGGAGCATTCGCTTTGAATTTAGCAACGAGTGTTTTAATCATTTCGAATGTGGGGATAAAGTCTTTCTTATTGCCATCCCTTCCTGTACACAGTAGGATGGTAGGATCATAACAGTCAACTAGTATGGAAGGTAAGAACACTGGTAGTAAATCGCCTCGCGCTAGCAAACAGGTCAAGATACAAGCCAGATTGCCTTCACATGCTACAGAGGCCCTCTAAAAAGGTGGGATCACAAAAAAATGATTGATTGGTTCACAGCTGTCGGCTGTTTAATCCTTTTTGTGAAGGCTCCAGCAGTGTGGCCCTTCCCAGAGCGTGAAGTACTGTCCGCTAGTTATCATGGCGTACCTTCACGCTTGCCCGTCCAGCTTGAACAGCTGGTCCTCGCCATGTGACAGTGAACGGCGTTGTCGAGCTGATCTCGGGATGAAGAACGACCCGCTCGCCTTCGCAGACATTCACGTCCGCCAATGGGACCACAAAAACAGGACGTCCATCCGGTATCTGAAAAATATCGCTTCATCAGGAAAGGATGTGTATTGATTTTCACAGTTTTTCCAGTTCCTTACTATCGGTACAACGGCACGGACTCCCTTTTCACAAGATAGTGGGCAGACAGGTTCATCTGCCGGCATCACCTCGTCTACCACTGCGTGCCACATTCGACGGTAGCTATAATTAAATCAGGCCATATCTGAGAAATACTGTATAAAATACGAAACCTTGACACATAACTAAAATCATCTAACTAATCCTACTCGATTTGTTCAGCTAACGTGTCTCCTGGTATGTCAACCAATTCCAGGAAATAACTTGGAACTGAACCATCTTGCCCATTTTCCTTCATCACGTGAGAGTATCCACCGGACACATCGAGAATTTCTACCTAAATTATAAGATTTCATAAAACGTTGGCATTTCATCTCAAGGAGAGACTGCAGGGGCGGGGCTTCCCACTGATATTCATGCACTGGCAGTAGCGCCGGTACAGAGCGGTGGCTGGGGAGGGTTCCGCCGCAGGCGTGCGGCCACGTCGCACACATGTGCTCTTTGGCATTGGGATATGCACCGCTTCAAACTTCGTCTCACGAGGGCTCATTTGTTCACTTCTTTGAGACAGACATGTTCGGCTGCCTCAAGGAAGACGTGTTTTTCTGCAGCAGTGTCTCAGAGTTACGTTAATGCTCACTTCTATACTAAAAAGCCTGCCTAAAAGGCACGTTTTTCTTCCACCCACGATTAGGCGGCTGCCTTGCTCTCATCCACCGGGGTAGTAAATCAGAGCGGACAAAGTTTTGTCGCACCCTTTGCCGCTTGAAGTGCGCAAAAAAGGCCCAACCACTCGTCCGATATCAACCACACCTTTTCCCAAATCCCCACCTCCTCGTCCCTTGCCACAATGCGCTGCTAACGCGCAGCATTTGAGGCAGCGGTCCCACCGCGATCCTGTGTCAATGGCACTGGAGCAACTAGAGTCAGGCTCGCGAAACTCGTCCAACGCGCCTTTTCTCTATCCCAAGGTGGAATGTTGCTGAAATAGGGGAGGTTTCTGTACGGGGCGTAATCTGTGATTTCGTTTGCTTTCCTTCTCTTTTATAGACCACCTCCCACCTCTAGTATCATGACTGAACGCTTTTAGACACCTTTTATCCCGAATCTTTAAAGGACGAATTTACGATGGAAAAGCAACCCATTCCAAATTGAGGTAGAGATGGTGAGTAGTACCAGAAAGAAAGCGAAACCACGAAAAACGGCCCAGAACCGGAGAAATGGGACCCCTTCCTTGTCCGTTGATTTGAGCATTGATGGGACTCTCATCGCTTTGCCCTCTTCAACCCTACGCTCTCTCAGCTATCTAATCACTCGCCACCTATTGTACTACGGCGAGTGATCAGACGATCGGTGGGCGGAGATCGCCGAACTCGCCAACTTTGAGCCATGCTAGATCTCAGAGGTCAAATCTTTCGATGCCGATTGCGTGTCTGTCCGCACCCTCAAGAGATTCACCGCTCTCCCCACTAGGCGATTTCTCCCTTCTTCGACCTTCGTTCTTTCCGTGCAATCCTCCTTTAAAAGGACGAATTCACGCTGGAAAAGCAACCCATTTCAAATTAACTTAGGGATGGTGATTGTTACATGAAAGAAGGAAGAACCATGAGAAACGGCCCAGAACCCGAGAAATGGGAACCCTTAATTCCCGCTGATTTGCGCATTGATGCGACTCTTATCGCTGTGCCCTCCTCAACATCACGCTCTCTCTGCTATCTAATCAATCGCCACGTATAGATCTGCGGCGAGTGATCAGCTGGTCGGTGGGCGGAGATCGCCGGACCCGCCAACTTTGAGGCATAATAGGTCGCCGAGGTCAAATTTTTCGATGCGAATTGCGCATCAGTTCGCACCCTCAGGAGGTCCGTGGGTCCCTCAACTAGGTGAATTACTTCTTCCTCGACCTCCATTCTAATCGTGAATTCCTCCTTTAAACAGAGTTGCTGATTGACCGTCAGCTCCCCTGCGATAAAGCTAAGAGGCGCCATAGAAGGTCAGGAGAAGAAGAAACCATGTGAAAGGAAGAATACATGTGCCACACTGATAGAAAATTCTTAGAAAATCTGAGAATAGACATGATCTTTAAGCTTCTTTCTGCTCTGAAAATTGGCCAAATTGACAATAAGGAACACATCAATAATGCCTAAGGTCACTATCCCAGATTTACTTCGGTCACTTACTGCTCGCTACCGAGTTCGAGCCTCCAGCACTCTCCCTGTGATTCACCTATCGAGAGTGTACTGTATAGAGCGCATGCAGATGGTATCGAAATGTGGCCACTTACGGTCAGTGCAGGCCAGTCTGTACGATAATCAGGTGCAACTACTGCTCTTTCTGGACCAGTTGTTGCTGTGAATACCTATTATCTTGATTAATTCTTCTGACTATACCCCCACTTTTTGGTTGTGGCCTGTATCGCGATAGGTGACATTATCAGTTAATTCTTCTTCAAAAAAAAAACTTCTGAAAAAACTACTACTGGTTAGTAAAGTGAAAAAAACTGTTTTTATTCCTTTAAATGTGGAGCAGCGCACGCATCAAACAGTCTCTTCAGCTAATATTTTCGCGCCGACCCTAACTTATTGGGGAATACGCGGCGCGCGTCGCTTTGCTCCCTGGCGCTCTCTCAACGAATAGCTGTGAATTCAAATATTCCCGCTTTCCTTCATTCAAAAGTCGACTGGCCTCGCCCGCGCACCCCTCTACGACTAGCCTACAGCCCTCCTAAGTTCACGATTTTCCAACGTACGCCAAGGTCCAGGCGATGCAAAGCGCGCGCCCCGCCTGCTTCCAACAAGTTTACACCTTTTTTATCCTAACAAAATGAGATAGTGCGTGCATCAAACTCGTGAAAATTATTCAGTAACGTGAACGTTTTTGTCTTTCAATTTTCATAACGTCTTCTCATTGAAGCACAACACTTTCGTGTAGCACAAAGAGCCCGCCTTTGTAGAAAGCTGACCAATATATGAAGTCCGACTAATTCTCTCCCACTATTATGGATAATGAATATTGCAGACTTTATCATCGCTGTAAGAGCCCACAGATTTGGCTTCCTCGTAGCCGATAAAGCATTCACACATATGCAAGCATCAGTGTGGGACAACGTGCTCGCTCGCCATTCATTATCCCAACTCTAAAATTTTATTGTAAATTCAGCCACCGAATCGAGCGCGAAGACTAGTGGCAATGCACCAACGCGCTTTTTACACAGCGGTCGAAGATTAAGTCCTTAGCACACCGCACACAACCCTTCCATCCTTCTCGGGTCACTCACTTATATTCAACTTGTCGGGGGAGTGGGCATAAGGCAATGGCTTGTATATCGGCCAATACATATTCCAGGTCACTGTCCAGGCCAAATCGAATTTAAACTGCCCCCAACGACTTTGAAATGAAGTGGCACACCCTGAAAAAGGATTGACTAACGTGTCAAATGTGTTTATAAATGTTTTATCCTCTTTGCTAATAGTGGAGGATTCCGCGATAACTCGGAGGTCGAAGGGGTATGGTATCTAGTGGGGAGGTGGGTCCTTATGGGTATCGAAGGATGAACGCTTCGCAAAAAGCATTATGCCTCTAACAGCTCACCAAGGCTGCGCTGGCGCCGCTCGCGATGGTACAGGCCGACTGGCCAACTCCCCGCCGTTTGACTGCAGTCTTTAGCAGAGAGAGGGCGTTGTCGCTGATGACATTAGTAGCAATGAAGTCACCTAAGAACGGGGACCACTCGAGCCACGGTTTGAGGGTTTTAGGACTTTCCCCTCCATTTTTTTGTCTTCTGCTGCACCACTGTTACCAGCTATATGCGCTTTCAGTCTCAGCCGGCGACCTTTGATTTAGTACAAAATCCGCGTTCAACCAATCCCGCCGGTTACTGAAATTACTGTAGTTTCTTGGATGGGAAAGCGTGATTTGTGTGTATTTGTGCGTTAGGAGAGGCGAAATGCAGGATTTGGTTGAACAAAAATATGAAAGGCTTCCAGATATTTTCTTCATGGATCAGAAGGGAATGTTGCGTAAGCAATCGTAGTCGTATCGCTGAAGGCTGGGTGCAAATAAGGAAATGCAAGGATCCCAATCACTTGTTGCACTTTTTCTTCTTTTCTCTTTTATTTCATTCCCGGCAAATGAGTTCTCGAGTTGATTCACAAACTCTTAAACCGCACGACAATGTGAGTAGGTTTGGAGTGGGAGTGGGGAGGGGAGGATTTGTCAAATGATGCCCTTCAAGGAGAAAAAGCATTCGTTGAAGACGTGAAATGCTACCCTTCATGTCGTCCCCAGATTTCGGGCAAGTTGTCGGATCGAAAGTGATTGTTCGGGTAAGGGTACCAAAATTGATCACACAACATGTCATGATTACAAGGTGCAGCCATTCGCTTCATGCGTATCCAAAAGGAAAGTGTTCTGAAAATATTGACGATATATTAGAACACCATTTGTGGGCGGGACGTTTTTGAAGAGGTGTGATTTTAGGTTCGTAGCTTAAATGCCACACAACTGGCACCCTTTTAACCTTACTGTTACCTACCTATACCGCTTCTATTTATGTAGTTGCGCATACATATTAGGTTGTCCCAAAAGTCTTTGTCCAGGCAAGAAAACTGGAAGAAGTCCGTTTTCCGAGTAGTCCGGAACATAAAGCTCTCCCTCTTTTAGTTGAATCAGCAGCAACAGAAGCAGACGGTATTCTGTTGGGGCCGGATCTGCTGAACACAATGGCGAGACAGAACATCCCATAAGGGCTTGGAGACTTTTGCTGGACCATCTTCAAAATTCCTTGACGGTCGTTGCTTGGATGAAGTGAACTTTGCAATGTTTTCCAAGCATAGTGCCGGTGGAGCCATCAGTTTTCCCATATTATCGTTCAACAATAGCAGTGCAGTTCGTTGGTAGGAGCTATCAGTGAACGAATCGCTTGCAGCTTTACCAACTCCGAAAGTTGCCTCTCAAGTTGCAGTGCTGGAATGGACGTCGGAATCTCTGGTTCTACGCGTCTGAGCCAGGGCGCTCGCGGGTGTGGTTTACTTGAGGAACCCACTCCTTGCTACCACTAACAAAGTAGTCGGGTCAAACAACGACAGGCCCGTAAAATCAAAAATGTTCACCATAAGCAAAAATCCTGAAGACTTCTGAGGACGGTTGCACCGGCTGATCACCATAAGTCTCCTTTCGTGCCACACGTTGTCTCTCTTTCGATAGGCTGCTGAGAAAGTTGAGTGTGTATGCGTGATGTCCTTTGAAAAGCGTGTACAGGCTACCGCATGATGCACCAGAGCACAGTTTCCCCAAACACTCCCAGAATAAACTTATCACTCCAGAAGGAAAAAAGAAAAACACGCCGACTGACTTGGGCTTTCGAGTTTCTCTGATAACAAGCAACCACAATTTTACGCATGCCATGGCAAGCCACTTCCTAGGTCCTTCGCTAGACCATACAGACTCTCGCCCATCGCTTCCACTGACACGCTATTCTGGTCTGGGGTTATTTCTGGGTTTTTTCTGGGTGTCACTGGCGTAATCAACGCAGGATAACCCAAGAACATGCTGTCCGTAAAAAATCGACCTTTTCTCATCACCCAATAAAGTGTGTGAGAACACCACGACAGAAGATGCTAAAATGAATAATCCCTGACTATTGGTTTCCCCAAACCATGTTTCCAATGGGATAGTCTACAAATTACCTGAAGATTCACAATCAAATATACACATGGAAACGGGCAGGGACTTTGCGACCGACGCTAATAAATTCGCTCGCCACAGACACACTTCGCCCGACCCCCACCACACAACTTCCAAAGGCAGCTAAAGAGTACATAATTCCGATGCTGACAAATACGAACGGAAGACGATGACTGTGTCGGCATTCCGTCAATTGACAAAAAGCGATATTGGAGTGGGTTGTTTTAATACAACATTAAAAGCGAGAGAGAATAAAGGAAACACCACAATAAAAAGGAAAAAACAGTAACCCTGGCGCTGCTGTTACTCACAGGCGCTTGGTGAGGGACCCTTAAAGCAATACGGCAAACACACCAATAAAAAGACGCTGGGCTGTCTTGACAGAAGCCGGCCGTAAAAAAATAACAACATCTAATATACACGATAACGAGTCTCTTCAGAGCGCTCCGGCAGGCAAATCTTCCTTGCCTCCAGCGGACGAAATGGATACATGATAAGCTTCGTGCCAATTTCATCGCGTAGTCAGTCTGCTGTTTACAGAGGGATTTGCTTCATACAACCAGTCATCAAATGTCACTTCGAGCCTCCAGCACCTTCGTTCGAAAGCGAGCAAGCTAAAAACGCGCCGAAAATGAAAAACTAGGCTGAGAATCCGTCCAGTGGCAGAAAAAACACCAACAACGACAAAGCTACTTTCTCAGCGCCGCCCAACCCACAACTTCTCTTTGCGCCACTATCTGCCCTGAAAGCCAATTGCACACTCGTACATCCGGTACCACAAAGATGTGGGACCTGGCAATCCCGACATCACAAAGGCGCATCGCTTTCACTATTGAGATCAGTGGTGCCATCCTGACGTCACTGAAAGCGCGGCGGACACCAAAGAATCTAAGGACATCGACTCCCCAATAGAGGGCTTTCAAAAAAGGCTCATTTACCTCGACAAATCGCTTGTTTAAAGAGAGCAAAACTCTCCGGCAATACATCAGCCTACAACTTAAACTGCGTTTGTAGACGTCGTGGAAAGACGTGGCTCGGATACGCGCCACACTCCGATTTTTCAGGCCGGAATTGCAGAGACGTCCAATTTGACCGTTTCTCATTCAGGCAAAGCTCATGTTCGGAAAAGGTTGAATTCACAATACACCTTTATCAGGAGACGCCGCAACTTCCTAGGGGCAGAAACCCGAGTCAACTTCGTGAGAACTTGATCCAACAGATTTGAAGTTATGAATCCAAGCTATTGCGCCACCAGCTTTCTGTCCACCAACTTCTTAGAATCGTACAACTTTTGCTTTGCGGTTATTTGAAGCCATATTTCCCTCCAGCCTCCATTGCCCCAGAAAATGACTTGCAAAATGATCTGCCCACGACCCTCAGAGCTATTCAAGACTCCAGTTAGCGCAGACAATCAAACCACTTCGGAGGGGCATATCTTCCGGAGGATGGATTCATCAACCTCGTTCATATCTCTAGGACGGCAACTCTTCTCACTGAGCCCACAGGTCCTTCAAATTCACATCAATTTCACTCTGTTATACGGTTATTCGAACACAACATCACATTTGTCACACCACTTCACACCTAGTCCCCGACTCGGGAAGTGGATTCTATTTCACTCTTGGGTAAGCGATCACCGAAAATCTGTCTGGAATTTTTTTTTCAATTTAAATCGATAAAAATCGAAGAAGTAAACAGAATACACAACCAAAGCGAGGACCTTTATTAGATTATGAACTGTCTGAGAGAGATCACAATATTTTCAAACAAAAAAAAACACACATTAATCATGATAATTATAAAGAACTCAGAAGCATCATCAGAACACATATTCGTAAACACCAGAAGAAATTCAGAACAAATCTCGTATACAACGCTATTCGAATTCGGTGTTTCTTTTTCTCAATGAGGGAGAGATTAGGATGGTGGAAGGAGGAGCAAACAGAGGACGGGGAGTACGACATACTGCAAAAATCCATCACGGTATATGACGACTGGGAGGGGATGGGACGGGTACGGGATTTTCACGGAGCATGGGATCACGTATGAATCAATCGATGACAATGAAACAACATAAAACGGGGATCATGTCGGTGGATGATGAATAAAAAAAGAACAGAATGAATATGAACGATGATGAATATGACTAAAACCTTATGTGAACTATGTCTTTCGCCTTTCTACACTATACGCAACTCTTAGGAGCAAACAACGCTAACCGTAAAATGGGCACCGGGGACGGAAACTGAGGCCCGATAACATCAGAGCTGCTGCGGCGGCTGCGGCTGCTGCTACTACTATTATATAACTAAAACTTATTGTATTTACCGTCTCACTGCACTGCACAGTATCAAACTTGACTCAATTAATATCTACAAGCTCTCTCTCTCAGTTTTCGCTGCCGGATGAATCGGAAATCGGAACACAAAGTAAAGTCAAACGAAACAAACAGTGGGATGGACATGTTCAGGCGGGGCGCAAGCGATTAGTATATACATCAAGGCCTATTGAAGAACATAAAATGGGCACTAGCACTGGTACACTCGGCTCGCGATAAGGACAATGATGATGATGCTGATAATGACGAATACTCGGGCACACAAGAGGCGGGGCTCTACATGAAAGTGGGCGGGGCGTAACAAAAGGGTGGCCAAATAACAAAGCGGGAGTATGAACGCGGAACGAACGAGACATCACGTACGTAAAAACAACGTCCACAATCTAGTAGTGACGACGACGATATGGCCAGGACTAGGAGACTTGTGATGATGATGATTATGATGATGATAAAGATGATAACGATGATGATGTGACTGGCAGATTAGCATACGGTGTACGGTAATCACGAGGAATACAAGGAATACGCAAATGTTCGTCAACACACCAACACACTTGTCTACTTCAATTTGCCTACCGGTGGCGGTGAGGTGGGTGATTTAGCGGACGCTTTCTTGCCGAAACCGAACAGCTTTGTGCCTTTGCTTTCCTTCTTAGGTGACTCCGGCTTTGAGCTTTTCGATGAACCGGTATTGGCATTGTGTCGTGACGACCCCGTAGCTGCTCCGCCTGCACTTCCAGCACTTCCTGGTGACTTCTTGCCGTCACTTCCTCTGAAACAGAAGCTTAACTATCAAAGTACTCGCTAATTTGAAAAAAAATAAGTCACGGAAATCGGAAATCGTGCCTTATTTGACGAGGGAGGTCTTTCAGGTCGTGCCACGCTCCTTGAAATGGTTTTTTTTGTTTTTCATGATGTAGGGACACGTATACGGAGAACGGAACTATTTATCGTTTATTTTTCCTCAGCACCCTTTGTATGCCAGAGCAGGGTTTGAAACAAGCGCCAAGTCTTTTCTACATCAGTTTCTGGCAAAAACCACCCACATAGATTAGTGATGGTCCTGATGGTACTCTGGTATCTATTCTACCCGTGGGTACCATTTTGCGACACTTTGTCACCACGGGGAATCGAATTTTGAACCAATTTTTCATCCCTTTTTGCTGTTCAGAGGGCCGCAGGGTTCAGAGGGCCGCTCAGGAAAAAAGGGAACATATTCACTTCCATGTCTCACGTGCCCCTTATCAGGCAGAATACTGATTTGAAAAGCTGGGCACGGCCTGAAAGGCTTTCCTGGTAAAGACAAAAAACTGCGCCAAAATGCTTTTGTGCTACACGAAAAGCATAAACACAACAAGATAATCCGTTTCTGAACTCAGAAACAAAAACATAAACAAATATTTGAAAAACAAAACAATCACTCACAGTCCCATACCGGCCATCGAACCGCTTAGGTCATCCGTCGCTCCACCCATGAATCGCCTCGGGTCCACTAATGCGGCCAGCATACGTTTCTGTTGGTCGAGTTGTTCACTAATGTACCGTACCCATTCATTCTGAAAACAGCCATTGAAAAAATGGTGCCGTGTAGTTTAACACGCCAGCAGACGCGGCGCGGCAGTGTCCGCTCAGCGAGTACGTTCACGCTCAAACTTGAACTAGGACAAATTATTCGAAATCAAATATAAAAATGTCGCAGATTTACCTTCTCTTCCTGAGTTTGTGCAGTGGCAATGAACGCTGTCGGCTGAGCCGGATCCGAACTGCGAATGATAAATTTCAGTGGATCATCTTGAACAGATGGCTCAAACAGCATCTTGTTCACCTAAACATGGAACACATTGCGATCCATATGCTGATTTTTTATTCATTTTTTACACATATTATATTGACGATTTGATTTTTCGAAGAAACCCTGCTTTTCATTGTGAAACCTCGATATTCCAGATCATTTTCTGTTCAAAATATTCATCATTCCTTCCACTTTACTATCAGGTTGTCCGGTAAGTGATGTGATTTCTTTTGAAAAATTTCTGATCCCATATTTCCTTATAATATTATGTATCGTTTGAAACAGAGCTGTCCATTCAACGGAATGTAGCTTGTGTCTTTTTTATAATCAGGAAAAATGTCCATCCGAAGGAAAACGACATCACTTATCGGCCTAATAATATTCCTCCCGGCAGCTCAACTCCTTGAAAATATTCAGATTCCACATTTTTGCCACCAAAGCAGGAAAAAAATCCGTTGAGGCTGTTTGCTCATAAAAACCTCTTTGATATAATCTTATTATATCATCTTCTCATTCACTAAATTTATTAATCCATTGATTTTATTTTTCGGCACAAAATTACGAATTTCGTTCCAACTTACCATAATCTGATTTTTGAAAATGTAGATCGGATTGCCAAATTCCTTTTTCGGTGGTATATGATCAGCAATAATTACTGATTGTTCGAAGAGGAAAATACGACGGTCTTTTGCTTTCTGCGATGTGCCACCTTGACTGTCCGAGATCGGAAGAGTACCCTGAACCGCGTACGTAAAATCAATACACCACTCTAAAACACGTAACTTGAAACTTACTTGATAGAGAAGTTTTCCTTGAGCATTCAAACTTCCATCGAAGTTCTGAAGTCGTCCTACTTGCATCATATCATCGCACGCTTTCGGTACCACATGCATCACCTAGAGCACTTCCATTTCTTGAACAATTCAATCAAGCAGATATTTGTAACTTCGGTATTTTCATGTAAAAGGCAAGGTCTGGTCTCAGCCTCAATAGACGTCCCTCTTATGGATAGAGTTGCTAGTTAAACCACTACAGTGATAGCCCACTTCGCGCCTACAAACGCGTCAATAGGACGCCAGGTGCTTGAGACTTTGGTCATTCTCCGCCCAAAAAGATCAGTGGCCGCCCATCCTTTGGTACCTTGTCTGCGTCATAGCGTTGACTTTCTATCCTGTCTTTCCCTTCTCCGCACTCAATACATAATCTCCTATCACGCTGTCTGCCTCTTGGACTTCTCACAGCAAAACCAGGGAGGTCCGTATTTGCTGGTTTTAACGATTTTACTCCATTTTCTCTCCTTGTGGTCCAAATTTCATATTCGAGGCTACAACATCAATTTGACTCTGACCTTGCCTTTGGTAGCCACCATATTAGGGCTCTCGTACGAAACAGATGGCATTCTTTTATTTTTTCCCCTTTGAAAGAGGCTTCCTGGATACTTCGCATCCAAATATGGTAAGTACGACTCCACCATCAGTTCCTTATTGCTCAAAAATCAATTTTCAGGAAGCAACTTTGCCAAAAATCCCGGATTAGTGACTTCGGTCGTGACTACTCCTGAAAGACTCATCAATCATGAGGTTTTTCCTCACCATTCCCTCGAGCGACCATTTGGCTTCTGAGGCAAAATCAGGGAGCCTTCAAAGCCAACGGCTTACCACCACTTAGCGCAATAACGTTACCACCTGAGCACCAACAGCATGACGTCGTCTTAACGCTCTTATAAATAGTTGCCGCGCTATCGTCGAAGTGTTAAGAAATGTGTCGAACCAAAAAGTACATAGCAATCAGAGCAGGCGGGCAAGGTACGTTAACGGCTGCATAGCATGTGGTTACCGGAATATGTGAAAGGTCCTCACCCTGTCATATTACCTCCTTACATTCATTACTTGATTTCTATCACGTATGTTCGAAGAATTTCTCATTATTTTATGCCACTCCTGCGCTATTCTCTCCTAACCTACCCAAGTTCAGTACACAACTATTGGATTTGCAAATAACGCCTGAAGGACTTTTTGTAAGATGCTCTTTTTTGTCCTCATTTACTTCAGAGTTACTGCTCGATCAAAAGTCTACCGGATGTTTGAGAAACGAATTATGAGTTTCATGAAATAAGAGAATGAACCTACCACAAGCGCTTTCTTCAACGTGTCTGTTTTGTCTTTGGCTCTCTCGGTAAACTTCAGAATATCCTTGAGTAGTAGTTGATACTTCATGATACGTTGCACGGGCTTGATAAGAAGATCGCTCAATGCCACTTTATGTCCTAGTTTCGCCTTCGTTTCAGCGAAGAACTAAAAATCTTATTTGAAAATGTGAATTCGATAATAAAGAAGAGAGACAGAGAAATTTTATGTTCGCTAGCCTTTGAAATTTGAAAAGCTTTGAAAAATGAAGAAATATGCTGACGTCATCAAGCTTCCTGCAACCACAAAGGCCCCTGGAGGCCATTAAAACTTCGCCCCGATGACGAATGCGAGAAAGAGGGCTCAGTTGGCCTGACCATTCTATGTTTACTTCCCAGACAACAATATTGTTTTTCAGATAGAAAGAACTAGATGTCGCTGGAAATTGTATCCGCCTCCCCTTCGTTCGTCGGTGAATGACTGGCTAACCGCCGATTCTCTATCATGTCACGCCATTCCAGAAGTTCCTTCCCACAAGGAGTGGACTCTATGGGAAGAAAAGTTGTATGGGAGAACAGAAGCTTACTTGATCCACTCAAGTCATCGTAAAAATTGAATACGCACGCAGTGAGCTCTGCTCTTCTGAAAAACCCTTGGGTGTGGCACATTCTGAGATGGGTGACCAACGCCGACTTTTTTTTACCCTTTATCCTACCTTCTGATAGCGAAAAACTTGGCCTTCTCTCTAACCTTTCCCTCTCGTAAACGTTTCAGACAAGCCCACTAGGTACTTATAAAGTATTTCCCTCAGGAAAAGCAAACGACAAGCAAAACTTCTAGAAAAAACCCAGAATTTCCCCAGGGCAATAACGGATTTGAGACTTGCATTTCAGATTTTGCACATATTGGAAGAAACAAATCCATGCCCTTCCCTGCGAATGCCCTTTCCTCATCTAAAATGCATAGAACGTCATTGCAAACTTCTTTTTCTTTACCAAATCGCAGACAAACCTTGCACTTATAGCTTGCACATCACACGCACTTCAATGTTCTATAAAAGCCCTACCGAATAGATTGCAAAGAAGTTGGAGAACGCACAGAAAAACTTCCATTCACCCTACGGACGACGTGAAATCAAAACTGGTAAGAATTCGGACACCACAAAGCCCTCAAGGCCAAACTCAAGGAATGTCACGATAATTTTCATGGGAACGATAAGGGAAGCTATGTATTGGAGTGGATAGAGGTCCTGCCCAGTGTTACAACACGTGAAGTTTCAGTGGCAGTGGCGCCTTATCAACGGAGTGATAAGGCGCCGAAATCCACTTCCGTTCAGCAAAAACCAAGACTTATCGATGTGGAAAGGGGTGCGATATAAGAGCGTGCTAGATATGATACCGTTATCGTTATCGTCCCGTTTTCATTCTGGAGTGCACCTCTTATCAAGCAGCCGCACCTTCTTATCTCATCGTATCATATCTTCCATGGGCTTACACTCGTCCAACAATTACTGCCTCACACCTTATCGATTGATAACGCGAGGGTAGCAAATCCAGCGTGGAAGCCAGCGTGACTGCTTCCTTTAACAAGCAAATTAGGCAAGAACGAAGGGATGTTCTAAGACTAATAAGGTGATCTCACCCTAAAAGCTCCAACACACATCACGATTCGACCACCATACCTTTAATTGTGATTGACTATATATCATTCAATTGCCCAACATATTCCCGTATTCCCAGTCCTATGCCGTTCGCCTACCCTCTGCCTCTTTCCCCTCATTTTCGGGCTGTTCTTCCGTTTTTCGCTGCCACCGCCCTTCATACAACGAAAGAATCGAACAGTTTTAATCAATATTTGCTCAACTCAGAAGGTTAATCTATTATACTGAAGATATTTTCCTTAACATCCGAAAAGCAGATCGACATGGCATTTGCCTCGCCCCCCCCCCCCTTTACACGCTCTCGGCCTGGCTTTCTTCAACGGATATTTTTGAGCAGTTTCGACGCTCCTCATTGACGTACGTCTACAGCATGATTAATCCTACTCACTAGACCCCCCTAATGATTCCTTACTACTTTCAAAAAATAATATTCTCAACCCCGCATTCCTTAACAATGGCCGTCCTCTGACTTCATTTCTCGGCAAAAAAAAAATTGTTGTGTGACTTTACTACATATTCGATAGGATAGTCTTAACACGTTGGCGACGATGTCGGTCAATGCTGACCGACAGGCAGTCTGTCACATGGGACGATGTCGGTCAATGGTGACCGACAGCTTGAAAGTAAGCAAACTTAGATGGAACCCGCGACTTTTCTATTTCAACGTTTACTTCAGTGTCCTAACTTACTACACTTGTCTGCGAATTATGATCTTTCTAATTCCTGGGAGTTTTATTCTGAATTAGTTATCAGTGGCAGAAACGCGCTGTCAATTGAATCACAACCACAAAGTTCCCACCGTCAGCAAACTGGAAATCTCACTAAAATTGTTCATATCGACATTTACTAATTAGGTCACCGTCAGTAGAAAGTCCATTTCTAGCCTTAGGTTCCCATGATGGTCAAGTAGGCTCAGTCTTACTCATAGGCAGGACAAAAGTACCTATCCAGTCCATCAACTGCCAAATATTTCACAAACAATTTTTTGACCTTGAAATGACTCGTTTAAATCACTTATTCGATCATGAAGAACAAGATAACAGTCAAACAAAAGCTCATTCCGTCAGGTACGCAAAGTTTTTTGCGTCATTCTTGAGTGAAAAATTTGTAGAAGATTTCAGATGTGATCAGGATACCAGTACCATCTAAAGGAAAGCTCATATTAATAATAAAAATGAAGAATGTGAAATTGCGCCTTCAGAACCTATTCTAACATGAGGTTTGAAAATGCCAGGCGATGTCGTCGAAATTTCACCCAGCATTCAGTAGTAACAACTTTTCCTTGTTTCTAAACGTGTCTGGAGTACTCTAGTCAAAGGCATTTTGTGCATTTCGAGATTTTACAGAGCTACAAAATAAGTTTTGCCCTGTGTTACCGGCGCTTTGCATGCAAAAAACGCCTCGTCCCATGCGCGCGACAAGGAAAAAATCGCTCGTCGTCAACGTGTTAACCATTTTAGACTCATCTTGCTATAAGCCAGTACGTGCGCGCCCAGTCCGACAGCCCGCTATCCACTTTTTTGTATAATTTGCGAATTAAATTTTACACAGTGTAAACAACAGCACTACGCAAGATCGTTGCGCAGCTCTCGCGTTAGAGAAATTCATCAAGGAAGTGAGTGCGGTTCCAAAATTACTTTTTAAGTTCCGAATCTTTGCTGCTCCATGGAAGTCATCTTCAAGAGATTTTGGGTGGAACAACCCCACGTAAAACGAGCACAGTTAAAATTTCACATCGATGACGTCAGATCAGAGAAACGACTTCAAGTTTTCAAAAGATTTTTTCTGAACGACTGTGTAAACCCTCCACGAATATCTAGAAATACTCAACCCTTTCAAAGTCCTCCTGAGAAACGAGATAGTCAGATTTTGGCTTGTTCTGGCAATATCGTACGTACATCGTCTCCAGTCTTCCCTTCTGAATAATGACAGACATGAGAGCATCGAAGTCAAAAAGGATGGTAGAATTTGACTGCGTTTAGCTTTCTCGATAAAAAAAATGAAAAGAACATGAAATGCACCAGTAAAACTGGTGAGCTTATTCACTATCACTGCTAACTGGCCCTCTTCAAAATCCGGTATGTCAATCTCAGTCCTTGCACCTTTTATCCCCCCCACCCCCTCTATAAGACCGTTGACGTCAACAGTGGACGAGCCGGTCCGCTAATCTGCCATGTATAACACTTTCGTATTACTGTCAGCTAAATCGTACTAATACTAATTACATACTAATCCTAATCATCGAAAAATTCGATCCCCAATGACCTTAAGAACGGACATTTTTTGACTCCCGCGTGAACTTATACCTTCGTCAACACTAATGCGTACCGTAACGTAAGGCTCTTGCGTAACGTAGTGCGTAAGTAAGGTACGACGCCTCCCCATTAACCTATAACAGCACCTTTACTTGCAACATTAGCCATAGCTATTCTATCTCTCACAGCCACAACATATCAAATACCTTCTCATGTCGTTGGGGGATGAGACAATCACATGAAGTGAGCCACTGACACTCCCAGAACATAAATCTTACAGGTTAAGGCGAAGGATTCTGTTGAAGAACATAGTTACGCGTATTTCCCAACAATTTTAGTTTCCTCCAACCTTCTCCCCACTCCTGGGCATAGGCCAGTTCACCTACGGCAATTCGCAACTGTTTGAATGTCCCCCCTAGAGAGTTGAGCGCCGCCACAACGATTCTGGGTGGAACTATTAGGTTGTCCCATAAATGATGTCGCTTTTTTTTCAACCACGAAATTTCTCATCTAAATCCCCATGCTTTTACATCGTGTCATATACATCCATTCGAAAGAGAATTGTCTGCTCTACAAAATGCTATGTTCCACTTCCACCTCTGTTTCAGGGTTTTCGAATTTCAGGCCTGCAAAATGGGAGGTCCAGCCGACAAAAATTGACCAAACCGACAACTAGCTCTAACTTTATCTTCCCTTGACAGAAATCAATCAATGATGTACCCTACTTACCCATGACCTCTTCTGAACATTCCACTCTTAGGTTGCCGAAAAAGCTTTGCCGTTTTTCTTTTCGAATTGGCTGACGGATAAGCCATAGCAATTTTCAAATTAAAATTGTTCCTCGTAAACGTCATTGTTTCATATCGAGTGGTGTTCCTTTTACGAGCACTTCTTCTGCTCTACTCGCTCATTTGTTTTGTTTCTCTGTTTGTTGGGAATTAGTTCGAATTTTAGTGTTTAGGAATAAGGTTTTATCCCACGAAAATTACCGCATTTATTCGGAAAAATTGTCCCAGAGAAGATGAGAAAATCAACCAGGCACGACATTCCTAACTTAGTCATGACTTCTTCTTGAAATTCTACCAGTTTATCAATGTCCGGCTGTCAAAAAAATTCCGAGCTATATCTCAGGTAATGGTGCTCGACCGTCGAGTTCTGGTTTAAAAACCAGGTCTGGAAATGGAACGACGCGACTTGTTGGGAAGCTTAAAGTAAAGAATTAAAGTGAACTTCAGAATAAGTCATGTCAGTAGAGTACAAATCAATGATTGATTTCTCCCAAGGGAATACAAAGTTAGTGATAGTTGTCGGTTTGTCGCAGGCCCTAAAATTTGAAAACCCTGGAAAAAAGGTGGAAGTGGAACATAGCATTTTGTAGAGCAGGCAATTCTCTTTCGAATGGTATATGACACGATGTAAAAGCATGGAGGTTATTCATGATGAAAATTTTTGGATGAAAAAAAGCGACACTATTTATGAGACAACCTAAATAGAGCACATGTATTACCGAAAATACGATCTAACAAGAAACTTTATTTTGATAAATTCGGAACCAAACCTCACGGTGGCAGTGCATGATCAGAGTAAAAAATAAAACAGATCTGCCAGAACGACGCACCAACATACAATAATGCGATCTACACTAACACACAAAAAGTCCTTTCCTCAAGCCCATCTTCACATATCTCTTTCAGAGTCGTCTCCTGGCCTTCCTATCTGGGTAACTAATCGGATCCTTGACTCCCAAAGTTAACCTGGTCTCGAAACGAACGGTGAATATTTCGTTTTACCTCATTCAGCGTGAAGAAGAAGTTAGCTTGAAAAGATCAACTGAAGTTTTAGACAACCATTTATCAAATTGGTGCCAGAATGGAGTTTTCTTCTCAAGAATTCTCAAGTTATTCTCTGATCACTTGTATCGAGAAAAACCACGCGCGCCAAATTCGCGCACACTTTCACAAGCTCCATACCCTCTGGGACTCCCACGACATGGACACTTATAGGATTTCCATAGTGTGACAATTTTTATAAAGAAGGAAAGGCCGATTCACAAGAGCACAAATGATAGAATCTTCAAAGAAACTTGAACTCACAAATTTGACAAAGGCACTTCCAGCGACTTCGTAGTTATCAAGGCACTTTTCAATTTCCTTCAAAAAACTGCTGAAAATAGGCAAGTATTGATTCATTATACCAAACAATTAAGTGAACACGACGACTCAAAACAAGACTGACTTTTTATGAAACTCCAGAATCTGTGCGATATTTGCGAATATGATTTTGTCCTTTCCAACAAGATCCGCTGGTAATTCCATTTTCTCAAGATTCGCTATGTAGCCGTCCACCACTGACGACAGATCTCTCACATAATCCTTTTCCGTCTCCACTAATTCCATTAGCACATAGCTGAAACGACTCTTATTATATGTCATCAATTTGCTTTGGACTTGAAAAAATAAAAAGGATCAATTAAAGGACAAATAGATTCAGTATAACATTTGTTTATATCGCAACTTTATCATTCGCTTCACTCAGAACAAATAATGCCTCAAGCGGAATTCGAACACACACTACGAGGCCGATGTAAGACTTTGCGAATCAGGTGATTCGCCAGCGTACGGGTCGCGTACAGCGAATGGACCGGTTCGCTACACGCAACGCGACCGCGGACGCTAGCAGATCGCACGTTCGCAAAGTCTGACATCGACCCAATGCTGGAGCGTCATCAGGACCTAAATGATGTATACCACGAAAAATCACCACGATTTCATTCCAACAGAACTTCAATACTTCACAAAACTCCAAATATTCCAAAAATTCAAAATTAATAAATCCTGAAAACCAATTCAGAAAAAATTCCTTTGAAATCTTAGCAATATTTCACTGGGTAACACCGTCCTCAGGTATGTATAAAGCCTTAAAGGAAAGCTCAGCTCCACTCCAACGACGCGGCTCCCGTAAGCGCAGCTTTATGCTTGGTTGAGACAAATACATGCCTTAGAAACACATCGAAATATCGTGGCTAGTTTCAAAGGAACACTTTTCGAACTTTTTCAAAAATTTTGGAATTTTTGAATTTTTGGAATACTTTGTGGTTTTTGTGAACTTTTGGAGTCCTAATAGAACAAAATTGAGCATTTTAAAATTACATCACTTCTCTCCAAAAGAAAATCAATTGCGAACAAGCAAAACAGCTATCTCTTTGAGTGGAATCCAAATGGAAATCTGTGGCAGTTTCTATTTAGTAATCCAAAAAAGTACCTCAAGAGCGTCTAGCGATATTGCGTGGGATTCTTAACCTGCTATGATTTATTATGCCCAGTATCCCATATACACCCACATTACTCATTCAACTTCCATGTTTGGCAATAATATATGGAATATCAAATTTCTGCGGATATCAATCATCGCTGTATACTAAAATAAATGGAAGATATATCCGCCAGTTTCTCCTCAGTTTCGCAATCATATCTGCTTGTTCAATGGTTAAAAGCTTTCTGCCTTCCTAGGTTTTCAAGTTAAAGCACTTATCCATAGACTTTACGTGTTAACTTAATTATTTGTCATCTCGCTAAAAATTGTTGAATGAAAGGAAAAGCCTTTATCGTTAATCGATCCCTTTTGGGATGCGCCACGCAGCATGCTTCCATTTAACACCGTAGTGGCATTTGAATGCAGACATTGTGAGCACTTTGAATGCGGGCGTCAGCTGGCGGGTTTGAAATGGTCAGTTAATTTATCCTTCCTAACAAGTCTGGTATGACTGGCGATCTTACGGGGGAATGAGGTTCTGGACAAGGCAAAATATCAATACGAGATTTGACAGGCGCCACTTGCAATGGCATGACCCCTAAGCCCCGATAACACCCCAGCGATGACCCTGAAATAAGTAATCAATATGCAAGAATTCTTTCTGAAGTTTGGATATGCTGACAGCTTACTAACTATCACTTTCCTATTTGCGTATGCAAAAGTAGTAGTGATGTGCGGAGCACAATGAGGCAACCAGAGGCTGCTCAACACAAGCAAGGGGAGGGAATCTTACTTCGCACGGAGGGGAAGTGGTTCGCATTTGATGAAAAATCAGCACTGTGCTATCTAAAGAACCAAGAAGAGAACTCAGGTCTGAGTGAGAAAATTTCGTTCTTCTTGGGATTTCTCTTAGTAATTCGATTTCACAGAAATGCCCTAGTTTTTCTTGTTTTGATTTTTGCAGCTCTAGCTCTATAGGATCCAAATGAAGAGAATCCCGTTGACTTTCAAATTTCCTCGTTATATTTCTCATTCCCTAGCCATGGCAATGCTGGCAACGGTTAAGAAGTGACGGAGTTGCAATAATGATGTACTAACGCGGGTTTTTGGATCAAACCTTGCTTGGGCCTCCCGAAACTTCTCACATTTCCTATCCTTTGCTGATACTAGACACGTAAAAAAGTAAGATTGGCATTAGGTATTCCGCTCATCTTTTTGTAAACATTTCGAATGCTTTCTGCTTGAAGCGGAAGTCGAGCCCATCGCGGGTCCCAAAGGAACTGGGTGGGTATAATTCCCTTTTGCTACCGTATACCAAGGATGAAGCAAAGCTACATTGCCTCAGGGCATCTTTCAAAATAATATTAAGTTTCTAGAAAACAGAAAAAAAACCTTGCTAAGAATCGAAATCTGATGCATCAAGAACCTTTTGAAAAATAATTTACATATAAAAAAGCCTGAAGGAAAACGAGCTTCAGTGCGCCTCATTGTGTGCTACAATTTTAGATCCATCGCATTTTAGCCAGCCCCTACCTTCTCACCCTAAAGCCGCCCCTCCACAGCAATACAAGATCTGTTTTCTACCGTACAACCACTCTGCTAATAGTTCAAACACATGGCCTCTATCGAGGGTGCTCTTAAATTCGCTTGAATGAACTTCAGCAAATCCACTTTTGCTGTCGTGGTCTATGGCCGTTGCCCGAGCTCGAAACGAGCTACTTCAAAGCTATTCACTAAGTTTCCTCCGCTTCACCCACTTAGAATTTTCGTTCTAAAAAGACTTCTCCATCAATGTCTCGTCAGAGGCTTGCGAGGAAATTGGCATGCCTCCGACAAAAACTCGGAATGGACGACTACTGGATAGCAGTCCTAATCTCTTTGAACTCTTATCTTTAACAATCTTAAAAGTGCAGTTGTAAAAATCGGGATAATATCGATCAGAAACTTCAGTGAACCACTTAACAAACGCTTCCATGTTGCTGACATTTCCGAGGCAGTAACGAGCCATTTATAACATTTAGCCTTTTATTGGCGAAACAGAGGTGAAACAGACGACCTTTTAAGTGAAAGTACTCCAACAAGCAAAGGCCAGGACCAGATTGCGTATGAGATTAAGCCGGCTAATAATGCTTTTACGCCAGGAACCAGGCAGGTCCGGGCTCCCAAAATTTCTGTGTGCATTTGACTACAGATATGGTTCCTATGAGCTTTATAACCCTCATCCACAAGCGAGATAACGCTCTGACGACTGCGCGCCATACGCGTCAGGGTGATCACGCTCGTTTGGCGCAGATCTTGTGGTGCGAA